CAACTTATAAAGGCGATTTCGAGCTTTAGAAAAGGATATATTCAGTTTTGAAATGTTCATATTTCGAGAAAAAAAGACCATTGTCTACATTTCTGCCAACTTATAAAGGCGATTTCGAGCTTTAGAAAAGGATATATTCAGTTTTGAAATGTTCATATTTCAAGAAAAAAAAGACCATTGTCTACATTTCTGTCAACTTTAAAGCGCTTCCGAGCTTTAGAAACGGATATATTGGGCATTTAAGCTCCAAAAAGCCCCATACATTTTCTCTTATTTTGGACTGGTTCCGATCGCGTTACGTTAGATAAGAGAAAATGTATGAGAATATTTTCGTATTAAATTACCTATATCTCTGCCGTGCCTCGCTCTATCGCTCTGAAATTTTTCACCATATCATATTTTTACATGCAGTTTCTGATGTCACCAAAATCCTAAATGTTTTCGGTACTCTATTGTTTATTACCTTTCCGAGATCGCAATATATCTCATGTCGAAAGTATGTCTGCGATTTTTGGTATGTTGAAGGCAAACTTTTGAAGAACAACTATCCGAAATGACATCCACAGAATTTCAGCTAAATCGGTCAAATTTCCTTTGAAAAGGAACTCAAAATGCTCGAGTAACTGGACGAGAAAAACGCAAAAATGGTTTTGACTGCTAATAAGGCCATTGTCGACGCAAGGGAATTATTTTTTTTATTACTCGCCATTAATAATCGTGATTGAAAAGAGTATTATGTATTTTATCAGAAAATTTCAAAATGTTAAAATCGATCTTTTTGATCAATTTTGGATTTTGTGTTCCCTGATACCTTAGAGGAAATGAGGATAGGCAGATCCATCACTCAAGAAGAGTTGAGAAGGACTCGACTATGTTCTTTCACCTAACACTTCTTTTGTGTTCTGCTAATCCCCGCGTGCTTTACAACTGCACATAACACGTTCTCTTGTGTTCTATTTCTTCATTATGCCACGCTTTTTTGGGATACACCGTAAATTTTAATCCATTTTACAAGGTAGTATTACACTGCTACAAATATTCTTTAGCGGGCAGCCGGGCTATTCTACCTTAGATTCAGACTTTTCATTTGTAAAATGATGCAGTGCAAAAATTATTTTGCACTTAAACTGAAAATGAAACTGAAACTGAAACTTATTTTGATTTTTTCCCCCTGATGCTGAACTTTTCACAACCAAATTTTAGTATAGTATTTAATATTGGAACAAACTCTTACTTTTGATAATCGATTTGAAAAGAAAATAATCAAATTAACGAAATAAAAGCATTGAGAATATGGAAATGAAAACGAAATGAGAATATTAATTTATACTCTGACTTTTTGATAATATGCTACTTTACTTAAAAGTACCTAATAATGACGAGGCTTTTTTTTTCAAAAACAAAAAAACAAAAAAACAAAAAAACAAAAAAAAACAAAAAAACAAAAAAACAAAAAAAACTCAGGTTCAGTTGTCACTGGTTTTTAAAACAGAACTTATTTGAGGTACTTTTCTAAGTATCTTGTGATATCATCTTGCGAAGTGGTTTTAACCGCTGAGAACGTGATGTCGCTATTCAAATTTGGATAAGTCTGTGGCGAATTTATAAGAGGTTCAATGAATGCTTATGATTCCTCTTTGATTGGGATTTTCCGCTCGGAAATGTGAGAATAAGCATCTGAGATAATCTAGAACTATATTCCTTTCTTAGGTTAACCACGATTCAGAATTCTAGATATTTTATGTGATGTGGAAATAAACGCATTTTGAGTCATTTTCTATTTTCAATACTTAGTACGTGGTTTCTATTTATCACGTATTTTTTATTAAGTTCATTTTGTCATCTTAATCCCACATCTCATGGTTATTATGTCTTTATTTTTTAATGCTACACAAATGATAAAGCTGAAAACGGAAAAGCACGTTTAAAAAATAAATGCATGGGAGTTAATTAGAAAGTGTCTCTTCCACGCAGAGAGGCTCTTCTTCCACTGGACTGATTGTAATTGGAATGAAGTTGGATTTTACGGAGGGAGGAAAAACGGAGAACCCGGAGAAAATCCCTCGAAGCACAGGAGAGAACTAACGACCACCCGTGCTTCTAGTACGGTCTTAGTAGAGCCATTAACAAACTTGTAAAGTCCTAGCCTACTCTAATAGAGGAACAGCGAGGAATATATTGATTGATGCTATTAATATTTCTGGAATATTTGAAAAAAAACATAATTCTTATATTCTGATTCTTTTTCATTTTCGAATCAAACCTACTCCATTCAAAGTTGTTCTTTCTCGATTCTCCAACGAACAGATGGCTGAGTTTTTCATTGAATAATGTAATCTAGGAGTTATTTTGGAAGGAGTTGCTTCTTTCATTTGATCATGTCGCAGCAAGCCCACTGCGCAATTTCATCGGCTCCATCCACTACCCGTAATAAACAATTTCATCAACTTTAATATGAATCATATGTTTGTCCACCCTTTTAACAGTCAAAAAAAAAAAAAATCATGTAGTTGTCCCTTTTCCCACTACTGTCGACAAATCGTTAAAAGCGATTGACTTTTTCTAGACCCACAGACGACAGTTTGAAGGTTTCCGTTCTGAAGATCAAAAGTTGTATTCATCTTGTACTGGCGCATTAACAATAATAGCTTACTTATTTATATAGCGCTATTTTCAATATAAATTATGCCCAATAGCGCTCTACAATGTGATATTAAAGATATAAGAAAACTAAGAATATATATACAAATATTACAATATATGATTACTGAAAATTTAAACTATTATTAAGCAATAATCACTAAAATATCTAAAATTA